TGTCGTTTTTTTTAGTTTCGGCACTGCATTCTCCCTCCATGGGAGAATTTCTAACGGGGCTTGAAAATTCAGACTGGTTGAGACACATAAAATCAATCATGGAGGCGGGACTCTTCATATCTAAGGTAAAAGATCTCTTTGAGAGTTCTTCAACCCATGCATGGGTGCTCTGGAACTGATTTCATGTTCTCACGTACACAGGCCGTGGCAGAGGAAGGGGTCAGCGTCTTGGTTCATTGTTCTGATGGCTGGGATAGAACGGCTCAGGTGTGCTCTGTGGCCAGTGTGCTTCTGGATCCTTACTACAGGACCCTCAAGGGGCTGATGGTAAATGAGAACAGGCTACAGAGTACAGCTTGTAAACTTTACTCCAAAAGTCACCGAGTTCACAGTGTAAGAAGATGCCTAACTGACATGCTGCCAGTGTGGGTCTTACTCATTTAATTGTACGGATCGACTCTGGCTGGTTCTCTGCCGGAGAGGTTTCATTCAATAGCCAGGCTCAGTTTGAAAAATCATCTCTTACTACTTTGAAATTTACCCTCATATGGGGTCAACATAAAAAGAAGAACCTACTTTCTTGCACAGATTAGTTCTGTCTGGGAATTCAGTCTCATTTCCTTATACACTGGTAGCAGAAGGTACAGTATGTGCAGATGCATAGAATGATTTTGAGACCCATTTACAAAGATGAAGTGTGTCGTTTAATGTGCATGCGTCACTAAACAGATCTAATACAATTATTACTTGTTTTCAAGCAGTTCCTGCCTTTTATTGATCAACTAAGCAAGATGATCAGGATGCTCAAAACAAATAGATCAATGTTGTGATAGTGTCAGTGTTTGCACTTTTTGAGGAAGTGAGCTTACAAATTACATACTTATAGTTGTCTCTGCTTATTAAACTGGGATATGAAGTATCTTAACATCTGAAATTGACATTTTACCTTTAAACATTTCACAAGTACTGTTTGGGGTTGTTAGGATTTCTTAATGTTTTTTAAAAGAAGCCTCTTCTGCACACCAGCATCATTACTCCAGTCTTCAGTGTCACATGATCCTTCAGAAATCATTCAAAAATGCTGATTTGGTGCGCTATAAACATTTATTTTTATTTTATGTTGATTTTTGGTGAATAGAAAGTTCAAAAGAACAGTATTTATTTGATTATGAATGTCTTTACTGACACCTTTGAGCTATTTAATTCATCCTTGCTGAGTAAAAGTATTAATTTCTTTTAAAAAACAATCTTACCAATCTTTAATTTGAATGGTATTTTAAGTAAAATCCTGTTTTATTTTATGTGCAGGTGCTGATTGAGAAAGACTGGGTTTCTTTTGGACATATGTTTTCACACAGGTTGGCTTCCATCATATCATTTACAGAGGTTTTCTGATGTATTAACTCAAAAGTGCTCATTCTAAATGTAATTTACTTTATGGCATTTCAGATGCGGTCATCTCATTGGAGAGGCAAAGGAAGTGTCACCTGTCATAGACCAGTTCCTGGAATGTGTATGGCAGCTTATGGAACAGTTTCCCTGTGCTTTTGAGTACAATGAGAAGTTTCTGATCAGCATCCACATCCACATCTACTCCTGTCATTATGGCAACTTCATTTGTAACAGCCAGAAGGAGAGGAAAGATCTGTGGTAATTGTCCTGTTTATTTGATGAAATGAATGACAAAACTTAATTTGTTGTTAAAATTGATGGTACTGCGGATGTCAGTATTCTCTGCATGTGTTGAGCATGTTTTATTGCATGTGTTTTTTTCTGTAGCATCAAAGAGAAAGCTCATTCCGTATGGCTTCATTTATGGGAGAAGAAGCTGGATTTCATGAACCCTCTGTTCAAACCTGATCAGAGCCAGAATCAGGGACTTCTAAGGCCTAGTACTGCCCCCTACTGTTTTAAGTATGTCAAAACATGTTAAATAGTTTTTTCTTCTCCTCTATAAAAAATAAGCTGATAGTTTGATTCTCTTTCTCATGCATAATTTGTCTCTTTAGTCCTAAGTATCCATCTATCTTTAAGTCAATACAGCTATTACAGAGTAACTGATATATGGTGTTTATGTTTGTTTAACTGCAAAAAATTTTTGTCTTTTCCGTGTTTAGATACTGGAGAAGGCTGTATAATCGCTTTGACCGTGAGTTGCACCCACGTCAGTCTGAGCTAGATTGTCTGATGACTGTAAAAGAGGAAACGCAAAAACTTGAGGAAGAGCTGGCTCTCTATGAGCAGGTAAAATGCCAGATATTTGCCTACAATGTTTATTCTTCATTGGTTTTTATAATTTGCTTTGAATCTGTTTTAAATCGGATCATCATGTTTACTTAAAGTAATAGTTCACCCAAAATTAAAAATGTACTCACCCTCAGGCCATCCAAGAAGTAGATGAGTTTGTTTTTGTTTTAGTTTTTTTTATTGAAACGGATTTGGAGAAATTTACATCACTTGCTCACCAGTGGATCCTCTGCAGTGAATGGGTGCCGTCAGAAGGAGAGGCCAAACAGCTGATTAAAACTTCACAATAATCCACGATCTCATTCTGATGCCACGTATTCGCTACAGAGGGGTAAAGCTGAATTTCTCCAAATCTGTATAGATGAAGAAACAAACTCGGAGATTGAGTAACTTTTCAGAAACCTTTCATTTTTTGATGAACTGTTCCTTTAAATATGCGTGTTCTACAAATGCAGAATTTTCATCTACACAAAGTCTTTCTTTTTAACTTCAGTGATCACGTATTTTCCGCTTGCAGAAAATGGCTGTTTTGGATAAGGAGCGTGCAAAAACCCTTTACATGCAAAAGGGTGTATTGGACAGCAAGCAGGCCCTTTGGTCGTTACCTTTAGATACAAGCCTAGCCAATACTCCTCAGGATTACATAGGTGGTGCTCCAAATGTTTTCACCTTACAACAAGGAGAGAGAGAAAGCGCAGAGCTTTGCCTGTTTGGAGACCAAACAAAAAGCTCTGATGCTGACAATAGTGACCAGGAGTCAGGAGTGGCAGATTTCAGCTCCCATTCTTCTGGTGAAGAGTCCTTGCCAAGTGAGGACAGCGTGAAGGATCCTGACTCAGATGAGACTGGCCCCAACAGAGCGTGAACAAATACAACAGTTTGCAAGAAGAACAAGCTATAGCATCTACTGTATGTGAGCAAGATAGGAGTGTGGGTATTTCAAATTATGCAAAGATATTGGACAATGTGGACATGTCTCATGTGTCTGGCGTTACAGAAGCATGTCTTTCTGTCTGAATGTGGAATACAGATATATAAAGAGTTATGTTTTATTCTAGTATATATTTATAATTTCTCATTGGCATGAATTCTTTCGAGAATTAAATACTTGTGTGCAATAAACGATCTGATCTTAGTTTTTTTGCACTTTATGTACAATAACATGAATACATGAAAATTCAGTTTGTTGTGAAATTAATGATGTTTACATTTCTTTATGTGTGCTTTAGAAGTAACGTTTACTTATTTAAAGCTATTTATTACTTAGCAGATTTGGTCGGTCCTTCGATAGTTTGGATAGCGTACAACTACTAAAACTATAATGTTGGTGCATATTGTATAAGTCGTGCGCTTTAAACTGAGCCTGGCACATGCACGGAACCAAAAGAAACCAGACCAAATACAATATCTTCCATTTAATGCAGCAAAAATAATAAAATACACATTTAGGAAATGAATGTTCTCTTAAATGATTTTGAAGGAATAATGGAGACAATTCTCACCTATTATCATGTCTTAACCTCTCCCTTTGTCAAGGTGTGTAATGTTGATCTACTTTAAAATAAAGGCAACATTACAAGAAACAAACATTTCTTGAATTTGACTGATCTAGTTTTATCAAATCACCAGGTGGTTGTGATTTATTTTATTTCATTTTTTATTTTATTTTATTTTTGGTAATTGTTTTGGGGGTGTTGGGGCAATGTAATCACATCTATGTGAATATGACATTATTGTGTTTATCCCAATATATATATATATATATATATATATTAAATTGTAACCAAGAACACAAGTTTTACAGGCAAAGATACAAACAAAACATTCTAAGAGGGTTACATATATGGAATTCTGAAACGTTCTAAACTGTATTATAATAATATAACACCAAAGAAGGGTCTTACAAGCAATCAAATGTTTCGAGTTCTTCAAAGAATACATATAAACGTCACCTTGAAAATAAAACAGGTATTCGTTTATGAACGTAAAATCCCACAAGGTGTTCAAAGGTCACGCGTCGACGTCGCGCTGGAGCGCTGTGATGTAGTTCAGAGGTGGCAGCTGGTTGTTGATATCGGTGTTAGCCCAATAAAACTATATAAAAGTAAATAGCAAGGTCCCAGCCCTTTCTAAACAAGGCGATTTTGTATTACAGAAGCAGTGTACGCTTTAAGTGTAACTGCCTTGTTTGAGGAAAGGTAAGTCCTGACAGAAAAAGTGAACTTTGATCATAATAACAGGACAAACTTTTGTGGCTAGGCTACTAGCTAACACTAGCCACATACACAAATAAACACTCACGTCGACACCAAACAGCCTCATTCACATCTTACACGAGGGATTGTTTACCAAAGCTGTCTGTAGGCATGATTTCAGGACGTTTGCGGGGTTTGTTTTAGTTGTTTAGCAGATGTTGTGCTAGCTAGTGCTGCTAACATGTCAACCTACAATAAATGATTTGGACATTTAATAGCTTATGGACGTATAAAACAACGCATTATAATAGGTTAGAAAGGCACTGCAGTGGACATGTATGTTTACAAGCATGTTTTTGGCACACGACCAATCTTCCCACTTCTTTTGTTTGGCATATTGAATGCTGCTTCTGTTAGCCTGTGATGGTTTTGTCTCATCTGGCACTTGTTGTAATGTTTAGTCCCAGTACAACAGGTTTTTTTGGGGCGTGATATGAGTATGTCTGAATCATTGTCCTTTCAATGCTGTCATGAAGCAAGACTAGTAGATGAGTAGTCATGTTTACTAAGACTAAAGTGGAAGCAGATGAAGTATGGCAATCTCTCTCCTCTGTTTACAGTCCCTCACGATGCTGTCTGGAGTGATAAGGATGAACTAGTCTAATATCTAGTTTGAAGTCAGTAAACAAACGACTAATGATTTATTCATCAAAGTCAACCAGCCAGGCCACGACAGAAGAATTATCCACAAACCATAGATGAATGCATATTTGAAAATATATGTGGACCTGTTATTGACCATTTTAGAGAAGACAATTTGGTGCAAAAATAAACAGTACAAAATTTGGAAATAAAAAATAAAGTTTGGTCATGCTTTAACAGGAGAGCTTTGTATGGTGATGTTATATATATATATATATATATATATATATATATATAGGCATTCAGTTTGGGAGCACCCAACATAAACTCAAAACCATCAAAAGACTGCCAAAAAAAAAAAACTTATC